TTTTATTGCTTTCTTAAATAATGGTTTTACAATGCAGGTACTTCACTTCTTTATTAGCAAATGGTGCTGCAAGCAACAACTTGGCACTCTATAACAAGCACTGACTCTTCAGGATATTTAGCCGACTCTTTATGACCTGTTTACATAGAAAAGTTGTTTTGTGCTAATTGCAATGCAGATTTATTCCTACAAACTTACAAAATTAATCCTGAAAAAACCATTAGTTTCAGGGCAACTCCATTCTTCCAAAGTACCCCAAGCTAATCATATTTTTCCCATTTTAAGGTAAATAGTAAGACCAATGAGAAAAGGAGACTAAAAAGAATAAAATAATAAAGATGATAATAAGAATAAAAAGATAACACATGAAGGTATGAAAGGACCAACTCTTTTTGTGTGGAACTAATGACATATTTAGCAAAGCTTTTTGCTGGTCACTGGCACAACCATAACAAGCATCCCAGAGGATCACATTAAATCTCCTTCCCTCACAAATTTCACTTTGCACAGCAAATCTGAGCTTACTGAAAACATTAACTAAATTCCACAGTGAGACATGGTGAAAGAGTCTGGGCAGGGGAAGATGAACCAGGCTCCCGTGGATCTCATGGATGTGGACATGCAGGACACCCCTGGATGCATTTCACTGCTGCACGAGGAGTGATGCTGAAATTCCTGAAAGCAGCCAAAGAAATTGGCTCTCAAGTGCCATAAAATTCCAGGGGCACCACTCACAACCACAATCAGTCTGAGGTATTTAGTTTAAGAATGATTAATCACAGTTGAATCAGCCTTTTGTTTCTTTTCTGACATTTCAGAGCCCTTTCTAGTATTCCATCTATCTGAAGTCTGGCCATGACTTGATACCAAAGGAGACTGTTTGAAATAATTCCATTTACTTTGGCCTGCATACAAGTCTGGATAAAGGTTTCAGTCAAAACACCTCTTCACATCATAGAATGGCCTTAAAATGGCACACAGAGATAACAGAGCACAAAGACATTAAATCTGCTGTGCACTTCCAAGTGCTCTGAGAGTTATTTACCAGCACCAGTGGGGTGGCCTCCAGGGGAAGCACATCCTTGACCCAAACAAGGAATGATCCATGCTCCAACTTTCTATCTTTCTACATTATTCAAATATAAAAATGGTCAGGTGCAAGTGTTCAGCAAATTGCTATCAATGTTCAGTACTCTGAAATTGTATCACCCAAAAGCAATGATTTAAAGGGAAAATGCACTATATTCACAAGAACTATGCATATCCCAACTCTGAGAAAGACTCACAAAACCCAGAACTAAGGAAACTCACATAGAAAATGTCACCAAATCCTTCCCAGCACAAGAACTTAGAGGAGAAAGGGATTTAAGGTCAACTGAGGCCAAATGGCTAATGCAAGGCAGCAAATACACTTATTATTTATACCAGAAACACAACCTCAAAATCCATTTAACATCACCCACCATGAGACTCAAAATCAGTGTGAAAGGACTGCAATGGAAAAAAGAGAAAGGACCTTAAAGAGTTCAGAAGTGATTGGAAAATGTGAATTTAGTAACATAGAGCCACAGTGTGACATTTTTTACTTGAAGGATGCAGCATAAAACAGACAGAATATCAATCCAGGAAGAAAATCCAAGGTCCTCTTAAGCATTTCTCTGACATGGCTGTTTGCTAAAGGTGCTTCTTTTATTTCTGTAATTTCATAAATATGCTTGCAAATTATTGCATTTAACTGAAAACATTAACAACCACACAGACAGGACTTAAACACATGAGAAGCAACCCTGAGACCAACCTCATTTTCAAGTAAAATACCTTATGCTTAAAACTTCATCACACACTCCAAAACGCATTAGGAAAAAGACTTTGCATCTTATGACTCTCGGAAAATTTTCCAGGAGCCTATTTTCCAATGTGAGAACCACCACATCTAACAGAGCCTGAGAAGGTTTCCCACAAGGTTGTGAATTTCTTCAGAGAACCATTTAAATCTTGTATTACCCTAACCTGCACAGAAAAAATGGAACAAAGCCATTGCTTAAGGTTTTTCACTGGATTTTTCCATATTAACATAACAGGACTACAGGAATCCTTTTGTCTCAATTTAATGTAGATTTTATTTTACTAGTTTGTAAATATTAACCCATACATGGGAACAAATCAGAGAGGGGCTGGGAACTAAAAGATATCCTAATTTTGCAATGGAATCCCTTCCCCTATCTTAAAAGAAATTTCACTGGGACTCCACTGTTCCAAAATCACATTGCAATCAATGTTGGCTGCTGGGGAACAAAAGCAATGGGAACAGTGAGTCAAAAGGGAGCTTTATTTGAAAAATCTCTGTAATTATGTCTGATCCATGGGTTAGTTGATACTCTAACCATTCATCTTCCTGCCTGAGAATCCAGAACTCTCCAACTCTGTCACTGTGCCAGAGGAACCCCAGCTCTGGGATCTGCTTCCAGGACTTTCAGGCCTCCAATCTTCCACTGGATTACCCCATATTCATACCAAATTGTACCAGTTGTGGGAAGAGAACCCTGCAGAGGAAATGGTCACACACTGACCCCAATAATATCCCCCAAATCTTTGCCTTCACTGTAAATAAATTCTGTGTTCACATAAGATACTTCTCATACAGAGAATTGTTCCTGTGGTCAGCCTCCCTTTCTGAAGGTCCCAAAACAAAGAATTTGCAAATAAAATTACAAGAAAAAGGGTAGAAACCCAGTGGATGGCTTTCCAGCTCCTTCTCTTTCTTTACCTGAAAGAACACCAGTTTAACATCAGTCCCCCACAGCCTGTCACTCTTCCACAGCAGCATCATTAAGGGAAGGGAGCCTCTAAATTCTCTATTAAACTGCAATAAAGCCAAGTCTTTAACATGAAATGCCTCCAAGTCAACCAGGCATTACTGAAATTACTTAATCTGCACAATCAGAACTTCCCCACCCTACCTCAGCACTCCCAATCACTTACAGGAGCAGCAGCATTATCCAGATGCATTTCAGAGCTTAGCCCGATAATTTGGTTCTGGTGTTCTGTTTCAGTGAGGGGGAAAGTGGAACTACAGAATTAATGTCAACCTGATTTTCAATTTCATTACTTTTGTCTACTTCACAAACAAATGCATCCAGGAAAGGAAATATAAAATAGAACAAAGGCCCTTGCAATTCATTTATTGGATTATTGCTGTCCCAGCAGAGAACATTTTGTGTGTTTTAATCACACAGGTACAGGTTTTTCTTCTTATCCTCCCCAGTCCCTGCTCCAGCTTTAATTACCAAACACATTGACTTGTGTAGGTTTCTGGAAGACTAAAATGTATATTCTACCAAATCACAGTCATATCAAATAGTCATTAATTCTAAGCAAGGGAAGAAAAGGAGCTTTTGTGAAGGAAACAAAAAGTAAAGTACTCCCACTACAATTTAATCAATTTCCATTATTTAAGAATGAAATCTAGAAGCATTGTGGGAGTGTTGCATTCTTGATGCAATCATTTTCAAATTGCAGCACAGACTCAACAAAACATTGTAATAAATAATACAAATGTAGAGTGGCTCCTTTAATGCAGTGCCTGATGTATGAGTTTCATTAATCTATGTACACAAAGTTCATTTTTTTAGCAAAGCACTATAAGCAGCTGAACCCAAAAGTTTCTTAGTCATGGTATCTTTCAGAAATGGGATTTTTTTTGGCCATTATTGCCAGATTTGTTTGTTAAGTGCCCTGGTAAACAACATCCACTCATTTTACAAGTCTTGCAGGTTGTACAAGAGACAAGGGATGTTAAATTGCAGTGTCTCAACATAAACAAATCACCCCAAACTTCTAAATATCTCCAAAGAGTAGAGGAAGTAATCAAAACCTTTAGTTCAAGCTGGTGATGTGACAGCCTCTAAGATGATTCAGATGAGAGAGGGCAGATTTTTCCAACTCACCCGTCTTTTTCCATCAAAATTAATATTCTCTTTGTTTGGCCAGCAGATGGACATAAAAATTCAAATTGGCAAAAGGGACACACACACAAATACATCATCTACCAAAACAACAGGGATTTCCTATTTTCAGAAAACAATTCTCATGGTCACCTGTAGTGCAGGTCCTAATCCAGCTGAAATTCCTTCACACCGTCACTTTAATGAGCCTCACAATTTCTGGCCATTTGAAAACACTGCAGATTTTTAGCACATTTTGAGAGGGGAAAAAAAGGAAATCAAAACACTTTGCTTCTTTCTCTAGATTTTGTGAACCTTTTATCTTTCCAGATTATTAACAGATAAAAATGGTTATGTGTAAGTGTTCAGCAAATTGCCATCGATGTTCAGTACTCTGAAATTGTATCATATTAATATCCAAAAGCAATGATGCATTTAAAGAGAAAAGGTGCCACATTCCCAAGATCTAAAACCACAAGAGAGACACTCTTAGGCACTGAGGTCTGAACAAAGGTGAAGGCACTAGGAATTACAAGGCAGCCAGAGTGGTTTCTCTAAATGTTCTTGGGTTTTCCTGATCCTCTGCTCAAAATGTGCTCTGCCTCAGAATCTCTGCTCACCAAACTTCTCACTGGTTTCATGGGCAGAGGCTCTAACAAAAATTAAAGAGTAAAACCCAGCCAAGCCCAAGAAGACATCTTATCACTGCCTGGAGTCACTAAGCAACAGGTACAAATATGCCAGCCTCAAAAAGGGAGAATTTTAGTGTACTGAAAGAGACCCTGTAAACATGAGATAGCCAGGTAACCAAATGACAAACATTATCTGACAGCCTTGAAAACCTCTCTTAAGCCAAGATGTAATAAATAGCACATGCAACTAAATTGGACAAAAAAATCCCTAAGCCAAGTTAAATAATAACCAGCATTCAAATTTAACCATATAAAGTCTACATTAAAATGCAAAGTGACAATTACAAAATATTATATTACTATGAACACTGTCAAAAGCTTTGAGTAACAGCACACAAAGGAAATAAGTGAAAACACACTTTACCTTGTATCTCATTTTGGGGCATGAATGAATGTAGAAACCCATATAATAAAAACAGAGATCAGGAGCTTTTACACAAAGCTGTCTGGTAAAAGCAATTTCCCTGGGAGGGGAAAGAAAAGACTAATTACATTTGAATACAATTATTAAAGCTATTTTACTTCTTCATATTGAAATATTTTACAGCTATCTGGCTCTTAATCTAGGACTTATAAAAGGACTAGACTTCTACAAAATAAAAATTAGCATCATAAACTCCAAACTAATGTTTTTAAAAATCCCAAACATAATTAACTGAAAATTATTACTTGGAACCTAACAAACAAATCATCAAAATGCACAACACCATGTCAGGCTTAAAAATACTTTATTTTTTTTTGTTTTGGTCCGCCAACTGTCTGATTTGAAATCTAAATAGAAATTACCAAGACCCTTTGCTTAATATGTTTCTTATCAATATTTGTGTACATTGGAATTCTACAGAAACCTACTGGTATTCTGGAATTCTACTGGTTAACAAGGCTCAGGAAAACATCAGGGTATTTTTGAAAAATAAGCTTCAAGGATAAGTCTCTTGTTTGTTCTATCATTTATGCTCCAGCAATTTGCATGTAAAAACATCCATATTTGTGCAACAAAAGGTATTTTCACCCATCCCATGTTTGTTAGTATGATTTTCTCATTTATCCTGAGAGAAAAATATCAATGTATTCCAAAAAAAGTTTGCTTTTTATTTTACTGGCACAAGGAAAGCATTGTTACCACAAAGGCTCAGACAGTGCTTCCTCTATAAATGATCATTTTTGCAGAATTTCTATCTGTGCATATCACCCCTGTAACAAACTGGATAAAAAATGGATGCTGGTTTTACTTTCTGTGTCAAAGGGGTAAGATGATGTCCCTGCTCACTGCAGGGGAGCTGGAATAGATGAACTTTAAAAGCTCTCTTCCAACACAAACTATTCTCTGATCCAAGACATGAGTGCATTCATAGAGGAAGCATCTACAAACACTGGAGGCAATTTATCCCTTAAAATTAAATTACTGTTACTCAGTATTTCTTGATTTTTTTTTTTCCCTGTGGCAAGACTGGCATTTCCAAGCAGTTTCTCCTCCCCTTGCTCTCTACTTACATGCCTACATATTTCCAATGATGCTCAAATCCCATCCTTTCTACAACTCAGCAGCAACAATTCTCAGAGTGCCATGAAGTGGAAGTGACAGCAATGCAGTCCAACCTCCTTGGAATAAAATTGGCAACAGCTTTGAAGGTATCAGATTCCTTTGCAACTTCCTAAGTCCTCCCTAACTCAACCTTTTTCTTCCCCTTTCTGAAAGAAGAACGAGGCTGGCTCCCTCCAGGACTGTTGGGAACTCATTTTTATTGCCTTAAATGCTGCAGAATTTACAAGCTGCTTTTTCACAAGCTGAGCCATGCACTCATGGTGCAGCTACAAACCTTTAAATTTATTATGTAAAAAATTTAAAATCATTCAAAGAATTCGTAAGCATGGATTATGTCAGTCTATTATTACATAAAGTAATGTGATATTACAAATACTAGAAAATAATTCTTAGGAGGACTTAGTATTTTATATGTTCATCTTGCAAGGAAAATATTAGTCTAATTTCAAGTATCTGATATTTGTAATGGAATAGTTCTAAAAATCTAAACCATTAAAAGAAAAACAGATCAATTCTAAGTCATAGGAGTTCCAATGTTTTTCCACATTTGTTAATTCTGATTAATTCTATAAAATTATCAGGTCCTAATCAAAATCCAATCAAATTCAGATTAGACCTTTGAGATATTAAATTACATGTGGTTTATTAATTATAGAAAAGGTTTATGAACTAATTGTGGTAAGAAGCTTCCTGAAAGTGCTGTTTGTGCTTAGCATAGCTCAAGGTGTGCCATTTACCCACCCTGGAGGGTGACCCTGAACAAGAGAGAGAAGGAGCCCTTGGAGAAAGGGGAAAGCTGGATCTCCCAATTCCAGGGCTCCTTTTGCACCTGACATTGTGCAGTGCAAATCCCCACAGGTGAAAAGATTCATGCTACAGCTTCTCACACTCAGACTTGTACACAGACATGTCTGGCACGAGGCTCAAACCCAGCTGCTCATGAGAACACCACATTTGTCTGTGGCCAACTTCTTTCATATAAACACAGAAGCAGAAAAGGTAAGGGAAAAATAGAGTTACACAAGTATTTCCACTCGTTTAGGGTGGATATTTTTCACTTATAGTAACAATGGAATCATAAAATTGCCCGTGGAAGAAAAGCAGTAACTTGCAATTTCACATACAAGTTTTGTTCACAGTGAAAAGCAATACCCATAGTTCCTACTGTTTTGCAAGACCATGCTGGATAGTTAATTTAAGGCTTTAAAATTCATAGGATTACTCTCTCCATCAGGCTTTCTGAAGAGAAAGATAATGAGATTAACATACCTGAAAAATATACATAGTGCTAGTACAGCAGGAGAGCACTAATTCAGTAGACAACACTTTTTAGGTACTCTGTTATTTATGATCTCTATGTGCATAAAACTATAAAAGTGATTAATTTCATTTGGTAACTGGGCTTAGAAAAAGGTCAAAGGAAAAATTATTTCTGTTCAGAAAAAAAAAGGGCTTTTCCTGCTGAAACCAAGCAATATTAAATTATTTTCAGTGGCAATAAAAATGAGGCACTTTGTTTTCTTAACCTGTAAAAGTATTTAGCTAACTAGAAGGATACATCCCTAGTCAAGGATGACAATTAAAAATTTACCTGGAAGGCAACCAACCCCACAACTATTTTGCTAAAGGTAGTGTTACTAGTATCTATTCAGACTAAAAATAAAACTCCAAGTTTAGAAACAAGTATTAATCCCATCCAAGCAGATAAGGAAAACGTTCTCTTACCGTAATGCAGAGTAGACTCCCAAAGATAAGAAAGAGAAGTCTGGGTCGTAGTACAGATAGACTGAGGACACACAGTAGGGCAGGATATCAATGACACCAACAGCAATGATCTTCCCATCCAGCCAGTACTGCTGGTGGAAGGAGCCATAGCCACATTCTGGTCCGTTTGGGGCATGCTCTGCCTAAGAACAAGAGAGGGATTAATTTAGTATGAAAACAGTCCTAAAGAGAATTTCAACTGTAAAAATTTTTGCTGGCCACCTGTATTTAGAAAAAAAAAAGGAAAAAAGGCATTTGAAAAGCAGGAAAACAATGTTATTACTGCAACTTTTGTGCCCTTTGCTGTTCTCACAGTGAGTATAAGCCAGATATAACACATCCTAACATGAATCTGAAACAGCCTCTGCCATCCAGCACTTGTGGTACTGACAGGACAAACCAATGTGCTTCTTTAAGTTATTAATAGAATTATTACATGCCAACTTGGTGCTTCCAACACTCCCTGTCACAGCAAGGACCTCCAAGTTCTCCACGTCCCCAAGCACTGGAAACACTTTCAGCATGGAAATTTATTTCCTCAGAGTGGCAACTGAATTTATTTCAGATGACCATTTATAAAAAAACCTGAGCAGCCCACTCTTTATGAGATGTTTACTCTCTATAACAAAACACCTTTTATCCAAGAACCTGAAACTGTGGGGCAACAAAATCTGTGGAACCTCTTCTTTGTCAGCCCACATCAGCACAAATCCTGCAAGAGCACCAAGGGACTGCTATTGTGTGCTGTGGTTTTGGATGTGCACTGAAGTTTGACTCTGGATGGGGTAAAGCACCTCGAGCCAGAAACTGATGCTTGAAGTTAAGAAGAAAATGATCTCCCTAATTTAAACTGTATTACACAAGCAACTCTGGCATGCCATTTTCTCCCACGTCAAGTTTACTTTAATCCTGAATTCCACTGTGCTCAACTTAATTATCCATCTAGTCATGTTTTTCACTGCATTGCCAGGTCTTCAGAAAGCTGCTTCTCACTCAATAAATCTGACAATATTGCCTGCTATTTCCAACTGTTTTGCATTACATCAGCAGAAGGTGGGTTTAATCAAGTATTTTGATACAGTAGCCCTGATTGAAGAGATGATAGGCAGGAGAAGTTACTCTAATTGCTACCACATGTGTCAAAAGAAATCAATCACGTGAGCAAAAATCATTTCAACTGCTTTACCCAACCAGCAAGCCCCGAAATAAAGGCCACAAAACAATATGTTTGAATTTTTATATAGTTATATACCATCAAACTAAGTGTGGAGCTATGAATACTCTAAAAGTGAAATGATGAAAACCTTTAAGAGCTCCATCTGCAGTATGTGAGAACATTAAACCCAGATAAAGCATATTAAACTCAGCTTTTCTTGCTCAGGTAAAGCCCACTTATCCAGCAGTTATGATTTCATTCAGTAGCATCAGCTTTTCAGCAGAGCCAAATGAAATCACATGGTCAATGGTAAGATTTTCAAGCAAAAGATGTTCTCTAAGGATTTCTCAACACAGTTCCCTTCTCAGAATGCAGTCAGTGACAGAAAAATGAAACATCTCAAAGCCACAGGGAGATGTGGCTAGTAATAGAACACAGACTTGCATAAGTAAGCTTCAGTTAAAACAGATTTTCTTTCTTGGTCAAAAATTCATCATATAGGATTTAATGAATGTTAAAGAAGATAGTCTAAGCCACCATGGAAAAGATTTTCACTAAAGCAAAGTATTCTGAACTTAAACAAATGTCTCTGTGTGACCCCAAAGCTCCAAAGAGCAGCACATGGATTTGGTCACTGGACCTCTGCAAACTGAGCCTTAGCATCAGTTAAAACTTTTGGTAAAGCACAATCTGCAGTTATTTCACTAATGCAATTATAGTGAAATGTCAGGAACATAAGAGAGTCTATGTTCTGGAACAAACATAATGAGCACAGCACCGATTTCAGGCAAAACAGACAGGGATCTCTGTTACATTAAGCAAATAACATTTTAAAAAGAGTAAGGTTTCCCTCCACCTTCAAAAATTCTCATACAATGTAATCCTTTGTAATGCTTGTCAGTATTCCATTTGCTCCCATTCCTCAATGAATACTTGGCTCCTTTAACTCGATTTCCTGTGCACCATCCAGGCAATTTGACCTGAACCAGGTCTAGAATAGGAAACATTTTCCTGAAGCAGGCTACCCCATTTCACACCACTGCCATCTCCACTGGGACTGCGTCTGTCGAGGGTGATGGAAAATACACCAGTGACATCAGGGGAGCAAGCCCCACCAGAAAGGGCTTATCTTATCTACCCAAAATTATACACCTGCCCTGGAATCAATCCAGAAGGACCAAAGTATTTAAAATTAACAGTTTATAGTCCTACTTCAATATAACGAATTATTATAATCTGATGATACTGAAAAAATCCAGGACAAAATGGAAACCACAATTTTCTCTCCAGTGTTTACACAGTCATGCAGAGAAAAATACAACTTATTCCATGTTCATTCTACCTGTCTTCATATCCTGCTAGCTAATGATTCCATGAACACATTTGATTGCTCACATTTTATAACCCATTATTAAAATTTAAATATTTAACAGAACTGTCATTATATATTGCCCAATTAGTACCTCAGTGTAGTAACTGCTCATAATTGAACTTCAATGATGGTGAGAGCACTAGAATTTCTTCAAAGAACATTGGTAATTCTTTTACTTTAATATTAACAGGTATTTTGCTTATTATAATAATTATAAAAACATCTGTATTATAATTATTATTTTTATTATAATCTAATTATTATTATTGGATTATTGTTGTTATTATTATTATTATTATTATTATTATTATTATTATTATTACTATTACTATTACTACTATTATTATTTACCAAAAATGTGTCCTGCCTGTACAATGCATGATTATTTTTCTCTGGGAGGCTTCATGGAATTTCTTATTTTCTACTTTTCCATTTTACCTTCTGCTGTGCATGGAGGGAAGAGGAAGATATTAAATTTATGCTATCAAAGAAAAAAAAAAAGCCAGGAAACCCTTGAGTTCTCTGCTCCAGTGCAAATTATTTGCCAAATAAGCAAAGTGATTAATTCCAGCAGTTCCTTTCCCAATGGCACACACACAAACCTGCCATATGGTGGATTTCTATGTCTTGGTTAGCAACACATTTCTTTTCCTACTTCCATTAGGGATTGGTAGGACACTCCTTACAGAGCCACATTCTGTGCCTGACTGGAAAAGTCCAGAATTTGAGCTACACTGCATCAAATTTGAGTCAAAAATCACTTTCTAAGAAGGTGATCCTGGGAATTACAGGCTTGTAATGCTCTCACCTATTAGTTCTCCTGAAAATTAAAACATATCAATAAACAAAACAATGCAAATCAGAGGCTGATGTGCTTTTTGAAGAGGAAAGACTGAGATTCACAAACATCTTTCAGTTCTTCAGAATCCAAAAGCATCTCAGCATGGTTAATGAGAACAAATGATCATTTGCATAACAGAAACCAGATCACTTTCCATCCTGCTGGATCTATCACATTCTCCAGTGAGGACTGAATGATGCTGCAGCAAACCAAGATCATGATTCTGAAGTATTCAGGATGGTTAAAAAAGTGCTGAATGTAAATAGCTCCAGAAAGATCCTGTAATACTGAGTGATCAAAAAGGCAGAGGAGATACCAAATGTTCATAAACCCCTCCATATGCTGGAAAACATATTGCTATAGGCACACCCAAAACAATGGGCATAAACCAGCAGCTCTCTCAAAGAGATGATTTTGACAACAGTTTCAGAAAATTGTCACTTTAATGCTTAACATCAGTCAAGATGAAAACCAAAAAATCCAAGCAGCAATTAGAGAATATTTTGAGAATAAAACAAAATTATCCCTGAACTGCCTAACACCATGGTCCATCCAAGGGCTGAGGCTTTTTCCAGCTGCTATTTCAGGACAAGATGGAGCAATGGGGCAGAGCAAACATGAGATGACCATCAGTGATGCTGACACAACTCATCCCTGACATCCCCCTTGCTCAATGAGCACCAAAAACAAGGTGAATCAACCCTGAACTGTGTGGATTTCCCCTGGAACTTTCTCCCAGGAATCCCCCACCCTGGCAAGAGCAGAGTCCCAGCCCACAGAGTCCTGCAGGCTGTTCCCCTGTGCTGAACCATGACCACCATTCCATATCTGCCTGTGGGAACTGCTAAAACGCAGTTAAAATGGTTAAATGCAGCCTCTAAAATCAAAGGATAAATTAAAAATCACCTCAAACAATTCACTTTACATTATGCTGTTTACTGCTAGAAAACTGCCTCGTTTTCTGCTACTTCATACTGTATCTTTTCTTTAAAGCATTCATTTTTTCTGCCAGAGCCCCTAGCCAAAACAGAAACTAAACTGGATAATAAAATGAGGAAATAAAAAAGACAGGAAGAGTTTGGGTGTTCATACTATTTGCAGCTAACGATAACATTAAAAACTCCAAAAATTACAAATTGAAAACATGTAAGGTTTAAATTTTATTTTAAATTATTTTTGTTCAAAGGAGTAAACAGACTACACACTGCTACATTTGCTTGTGGCAACTGTTTCAGAATAAAGAATTTCAAGAATCCCTTGGCCTCTGATACATAACCCCTTTTATTTAACTTCATCTAATTGAAGACATCTGTAGTGGTGCCACACAAAATTTAATTCAAGCTTGGAAATGTCAATAAAAAGTGTCTGTAAGAAACAATATGGGTATAAAGCTGGCAGGGTAGTGTGCATCAACATCTACGTAGCCATACAAAATTAAGAATATAATGGCAGTCTGCTGCACGAGTTGACGAGGTGATAAAAGCCCTTTTCCTATAAAGTCTAATGAGCTCTATTACTCTTCAGCTTTCAGGAATGCAAAGGCCAGTGGGCTCAGCAGAGAAAAGCAACAAACTCTGCACACATGGATTCACTCAAAGCGCGACAGATCAAATTACCAGTGTAATTACTAGAACCTGACAATTTCATTACAGTCACGCCGTCCTGAGCTCTTTGAGACTGACAAGAGAGACACTGCAAGGATTCCATGGCAGTTTGCTCACTTGAAATGAAGGAACAGCATCTCTTCTCAACTTCTACCTCAAACTGTAGTCAAATGCAAGTTTAGCAAGTTATTTAGTAATTAATTTTTTCTTTCACAGAAATAAATAAAAAACCATGAAAGACACGGCCTTTTGTGCTTCAATTTTTAAATGCAGTGCTATGAAATTCAGTGGGAGCTTATTACCCAGCAAAGGAGTCCTCAGGCTCCTTTGGAAGCACAGCAGAACCTTCCTTACCAGACAGGAATTCTGTGCCAGCCACCTCCACCACCTGTAACCACGGCAGGCTGTCTACAGAGAGCACAGAGGACACTCATACATTCATTAAACAAAATAAATTAAATACATTCATTTCCAAACTCCCATCCTGAGTGAACACATACCTCCAGAGGGGAATCACAGAGGAATCGTGTGAACTGCACCGAGGTGGGTTCAGCAGTGCCCAAGAACATGCAAAGCACAAAAAGAAAGGAAAACCATCAGCAACGCATTAGGGTACATTAATATTTAAATATACTCTTTCAAATACATATATTTGAAAAGCATCATCAGACTTTGCTTATGGAAATTTCATTTAAACCCTTAAACTCTCACATTCTGTTTAGAAGTACAAATAGATATAATAATTAACTATGCAAAGTACTTTATTTTCTATAAAACAGGAGGTGGTTTTTAAAAATGTGATGTGAGAGAATTGTCCCCCTGTAACACAGCTCTGTTTCTGTGTCCTTTATTTTAATTACACATTACCCTCCTCTGGGACTCATTGCAACAGGGAGTCTTTTCCCACTGTTGCACTGATACCTTCCCTATCACCATACCCTCATACCTCTTAACAGAAATTAATTAATTTACTTTCGAAATTAAAAGCAAGCTCATTTTAATTTTAAAGAAGAGGAAGGGCAAAGAAAAGAAAGAAAATCAACCTCCTGAAAGTGCAAGCATTTCAAACCTGGATTTTTGCCTCAACACAAAATGATGTGCTGCTGATAATTACCCAAAAAGGCAATGTTTTAATGATCTGGAGCTTGTCCAAGATTCTTAGAGTAATAAAATACAATACTTATTCACTTACTATCATTTACTTATTTGATACAAACACTTCCTTATTGGTGGAGTCCACATTAAAGAGGTTGCAGAGTTCTGGTATGTATTTAACTCCAAACATTCCCTTGTTAAATAACTGCTGTAATATACAGCTTAATCCCCCCTCTTGTAATGGCTGGGTGATTTAATAAATCAGCAGTTCCCACACTGCAAATAACAGTAAATAGGAATTTTTAATTAAAATTTAGATAAAAAGAATACATATGGACACCTACAAAAACCTGACTGTTGTCAAGATTTTGTTGTCAAGAATTCCATTAAGTTCTGAGATTATTGCTGCCTCATCTTGCTGATCTATGGATTGATGGGAAACCTCTGGACACAGAAACTATGGAAGAACACTGAATTTCCATATTGTGATGGTGAAGGCAGGGGATTGTACATTTCCTATTTCAGATCTAGTCACTATCACTCTAAATTACTTACAGTTTGGAAGAACAAATTACTGTGGTATCTTAATTAAATTGTAGAATTATTTTGGTTTGGTGGATAAGGGAAAAAACACCAATAATATTTAAAGAAAAAAATATAATTAAAATTTTGAATTATTTTATTATGAGTTATTTTCCTGAAGCAAAAATACAGTTACAAATTCCTACACTATGAGTGCATCCATCCCTACAGCCAGTGGTTTTAGAAAGTGCAGGTTTCAAAAAAAAATAAACCATGTGTAATTCATTTTCATGTCAGAAGACCCCCAATAGTTCTGAATCTGTAACTTTAGCTGTAGAGTGCAAACTAAACCCTATGGTGAGAAATCTGAGCCCACAACACTTTTCAAATGGTTTTATCAATTCTCCAGGCACTGCTGCCCAGTCCCTTGCCTCTGAGGGTGAAGGGGAACTTTTGAAGTTTAATAACTTCTGCTGTTACAGCTGCTGGAAAAAATCCTCTGAACTGCACCTGAATTTGTATCACAACGTTAAGGGAAAAAAACCCCAAGTCTTGTTATAAATTATTTCACTTGATGATACCTGGTGAAGTTCAGAGGTTAGATAATTTTAATTTTCTTAAACTAATCTATACATTTATGTAAAAAAGAAAACATTAGATTCAGCTTCTAAATTAACAAACTCATCTAACACTGCAAGATAATTATGAACACAATTAAAATTTATTCAATAAAGCATGAAATAAATACAGCCAAAAGCTGATGTTGTATGTAAAATAACTCAGTGTGTCACACAAACACAATTCAAATTCCTTTCACAAAGCCATGCTTTTCTAATTTTAATTTCTAACTGATTTACATAACTTTTAAAAGCTTTATAATATATAAGAAATCCACATCATTTTTACTTTGGTGCAAGCTAATTACAGCTGCCAGAAGGAATCAACTCAACAACAGGGAGAAAGTTTAAACATAATTATTAAAACTAAGAAGAAACACATCAGTGAGAATGAAACCAAAGGGAGGAAAAAAAGGCAGAAAAATAAAAAGCAGGTTGGGTTCAGCCCAAAGCTTCTTGCTGGAGTAGAGCACGTGCACAGCTTTAAAAAGAGGCAATAAAGCAGAGTGTTAACACCTGCTCCCTTTACACAGGGGGAAGAGATTCAGGAGCTAAACTGGAATGGGTTTCACCTGGCAGCTCAGGATTTCTGCAGGGAAAGGTCCTGATGTCACAGGAGGACACCACGTCCTCCTCAGGAACCTTCCAGGTGCCAGCAGCAGGAGCTGCACAATTATCTGAGATATTCCACAAAACGCATTCATTTATCATCCCCCCTCTGACAGTGTAAAGGGTGTGCTCATATCTGCAATTCACTGCCAAGGAAAGCTGAGTGCTTGCCCTTTTTTTTGGGATGCAGAAGGATAAGCAATGAATACAGGATGTGGGCCTTCCTTCTTTTTGTTTTTTAAAATCGAATTTCTGAATAGGATTAAAATAAACCAAGGATTTTGGTCACTTTTTTTTTTTTGCTTTGTTTTTCACAGAGGTGCAAGGCTCATAAGAAACTAAAAAATAAAGATGGCAAGTCATAAAACCTGCAAATCCAGTGCATCACTTCTGTGCTTCCATATTTTAATTGAAATAATCTTCCTTACGCAAAACAGATCAGAATCAGTCTTAATCATAAAGTTGTGCAGTGAAAAAGTAAAAAACAAGTCAGTGTTTCAGTAAGTTGCTAACAACCCTGTCCCACAGAAAACAACAAACCAGACAATAAAAACAAACTCACTAGGAAAATGCAATGAAATTGAGATGAAAAATGAAGTAAATTTTTAAACTTTCTGTAGAAATCTGGAAAATGGGACAAAATATAGCATTTTTAGAGGAAAAGATGGTACAAACCACCCTTGAACCAGACAATAAATTAGAGTTCAGCAGAGGAATCAAAGACTTATCCCAGGGCTGGCTCTATTTAGCATTTTCAACAACTGCTTACAAAAATACAGACATGCAAAAACAACAGAGTTTCAGAGATATTCACAGACCTACAGGTGAAGAAAGAGCCTTCAAAACTAGGAAGAAGGATTTAAAATTTACAATGGAAAAAAGGATTTAAAGTTTAAATGCATGTCTCAAATGTAGTTTTCAATGCAAGGATGGGACTAATGAAATATTGTACATTTATTTCAGTTCCAATTCCTTTATGGAGTGATAAAAGTCACTATGGCTTTCTTTCTTGCTCAGAAAAAACCTCCTCTCATATACTGAAGGTTTATCAGAATTATAGTAAAGATTATTTAATTTGATATGGATTTACCTAGAAAACACAGTGGCAAAATGAAAATATAAACTGAGATGCAGAAAGAATCTGAACTGAAATGATATAACTGTGGACAAGTTATTTGTGTGGCTGTCTGAATTATTTTGCTTTTATAGATACTTCATGATAAAATCCATGAACCCACAGCACTGCAGTCACAAGGGCCACACAAATAAAAAGAAGAGTTTGGGCTGATATAGAAATACTCATTCAAAGTCCTAAAGTCAGAGCTACCAGGATGTGAAATCCAAGTTCACTGCAGTGAGATGTTCTGCCATGGCTTCCAGGAGCTGAATAAAAATGTACAGAAGGCTAAAAATAACCACAAAGGCTATTGATTTTTCAGCATTTTCTCACTGAAATATAAGAGAGGAAAGTAGGTTAGGGAGACCTAAAAGTTTCCAACTGGCTGCTGACACCAGTTTGGAGCTGATCAGAACGTGCTCCTTGGCATTTCTCAGTTTTTTCTATTGGTTCAAGTGGATTCCTGGGAAGCAATTTAGAAAAAAAAAAAATAAAGGAGGAGGGTGAAAGAAAAACCCCACTCCACGTATTTCAGTAATTTTTTGCACCTTTTCAAACAGTGTATCTTTTGTGTGTCCTGAAATTCTTTTCTTCCAAGACAAATATTTAGCTAAGCACAAAGCAAAGAGAAAGTCCAGCTACTTTCACAGAGGGAACAGACAGATACTGTTTTTCTACAAGTTTGTCATTATGGAACCCTTGTGAAAAGTTAAATAAAACGTTTGCTTCAGGAGCAATAGCAATAAACTGTTCACTCTTGCTCTCTCTGGAAACTACTGTAGAATTTTTATGATCTTTTATGGAAATGTTTTCTAACTTGTGTAGCTGCCACATAAGCTTGTTTCACTTCAGCTGGGTTTCCTAAAGACAAAGACTTAAAAAGACTTGAGGTCAGAAATGTGATGCCTCTGATGAGATGATACTTCATTAAGAACTGCTAAAGACACCTCTGTTCTATCCAAATTAGCCATTGATTATTGCATTGGGATCAAAAATTTCCTCCTTGGCATGAAAAGGCTAAAAAATATTTTGGTTGTATTTGTTTCATGTAAAATCTTTGATGCAGATCTCCACAGTTCCACATCTGAACCTATCATTTCATTTATCACATCTCTTCATTTGAAACAGGTGGCAAAATGTTCAGAAATATCTATCTGAAATGATCTAAATGTTCAGAAATATCTATCTGAAATGATCTAAATGTTCAGAAATACCTATCTGAAATGATCTAAATGTTCTGAAATGATCAAAATGTACTGAAATACCTATCTGAAATGATCTAAATGTTCAGAAATACCTATCTGAAATGATCTAAATGTTCAGAAATATCTATCTGAAATGATCTAAATGTTCTGAAATGATCAAAATGTACTGAAATATCTATCTGAAATGATCTAAATGTTCTGAAATATCTATCTGAAATGATCTAAATTTCTGAAATATCTATCTGAAATGATCTAAATGTTCTGAAATATCTATCTGAAATGATCTAAATGTTCAGAAATACCTATCTGAAATGATCTAAATGTTCTGAAATGATCTAAATGTACTGAAATACCTATCTGAAATGATC